AAGACAAGGCGGGATTTATGACCACTGAATTCTGAAGAGATGCATTGGCTCGGCAGACAAAGTAATAACTTACCCAGACTGTCAGACTCACACAAGTATTGAAAGATTTAATATGAATTTACACTGAATGAATTAAAGTTTAATCAGCTCAAAATACAAAATGACCATTTCCATCTCTGTAATGATACTGAAGCAAATCCATAGGGATGAACTTTGTGTGTCAATCATCAACATATACATATATGGACAATGGGTTTCCATAGCCCCAATAACAAGTTTTTGAAGGGAAATAGGAGGTGGCCACCACCGCCATTTTGACCGTGTCACAGGTTCCGTCAAGCCCAGACAATTCCATAAAAGGGAAGAGAGGAAGAGCTGAGGGTGGGGCTGTAAGGCTGTGATGAACTGACGACACCCGGTCGAACTAGCTACAAGCTAACCTGAAGCTAACCCAAAGCTAACGCGGAGGTGGGAGCTAAGCTAACGGAGGTAGCAACCTAGCCACAACCGGAGTTAACTGTGCACAACACCAGAGCTTCTGAGTCAGAGATACGCCGGGCTAACCGCTGGGTAAAACCGGGTGGAACACAGAGGTCTCCGAGACCTCCACAAGCCGGCAGCCGCACAGCAGACAAGCGCTGCTGCGATCTGAGATGCGCAGAGCTGCCGCTGGGGAGAACCGGGTGGAAAGGTTTCCATCCCAGAGCTCCACAAGCCGACAGTCCACGCAGCAGACAGAAGCCACGATCAGACAGATGCACCGGGCTGCGGGGAGGTGGAGTAACGGGTGGAAAACATCGGTCTCCCGAGAGCTCCACAAGCCGATAGTGGGAACCCAGCTCCACCAACATGTTATATTTCAACCCATTTTCTAAAGTGCAGCATTATGTTAAATGCACTGGGTTTTACCCTATTACATTTAAATTTCATGGTTAAACAGTACATGTTAAAATCTAAGCTCAGCCGGCAGTGACCTAGAATACATAAATATAATTTTACTTACCGAAAAAAAATGAAGTGGAGACTCCTTGGACGCTCTATTAGTGCAATTAATGCCACAGCAAGTCATTTTGCCCAACAATTGCACAAATAATATCGCAAAAGAACGCACAAACGCTACAACTACTGGTCTGAGTTGAGAGACTGATAATGACAGAACAGTTTTCAGGCGAGGCTGAGGCTCTACTGAGGCCTTTCCCCGGAGCTAGCTCTGTGGTCACGTGGGTCTGATGCTCATTAATTATACAGAATTTTTGGCTTTTAATACACTTAAACAGAAGAGTGAGAAAAAATTCACCCCCCTCAGAGTTGTCATGAGTGTAAACTAGATCATTTAAACCTAAAACATGTTCTGGTACCAGGCTGTAAACATGTTTATTTCTGCTGTGAAATTGGTATTTTTAACATGGGAGTCAATGAGGATTTGCTCGCTTCTGACACCAGCCCCTAGTGGATGAGGGTGGAACTGCAATTTATTTCACTTCCGCATTGGCCTCAATTTCTGTCCCGCATTGTGGGGGCTTGGTGTCAATATTAGATTTTTGCTTTAGCAAAATACATCCGTCTGTAAAGTTAGCAAAAATAATTTTAGGTGTTAATCTGACCGCAGAAGCAGCTGAGAGCCTGTAAAAGTATTAAAAAGGTGACATAATATGACTTTTAAAAACCATACAAAAGTCCTATGGCCTACTAAAAACATGTTCATGAAGTTCTTAGCACTAAATCCCTCTCACATAAGGATATTTCAGCAATTTCACTCCTTCTTTCCACTGGATGTGAAAGCCTTACGAAACGGACTTGAGACGTATCAGCCAGCTATTAGCTGCAGTTTTAGTGGAAGAGTTCCTTTCCACGCGTCCAGGACGTGGGCGTCGCACCCGTGGGTGATGTGGGGGTTTCAGCACCCACACTTTTCTAATTGAGATCGTATAACACCCACACTTTTCCAGCTGTTTTGCAAAAGGAATAATTGAACGCACCTTCTACAGAATAGTTTTTGTTGTCCAACTTTAAAATCAGCTTTTTTAACATTCAGTGACAAAGTTTGTCGAAACCACCCCGCCTCTACCCGAGGACACCTGTGCGCTGCTGGACTGGGCTGGAACTACAGTTTATTCGGGAGAGTTTCTCCGGACCCCGCCGATGGATTATTCAAGCCGTTCAGGCTAGTTAGGAAACCTCTGAGCCAATAGAATTGCTTGCTTTAGATTTATTTCGGTTAGTTTTTTGGGATTTGGCGTCGGATGGATGCAAGCTAAAACAGCCACGAATCAGCTTTGTGTGATGTTGTGACGACGGATTACAGAAAGGGATTGGATTGTTTTTTACTATAACATGGATTATGACCATGAATCAACAAAGGTAAGAGTGAATTTACGTTTTTCACATCATGAAATGAGCTGTGGTTTGTTAGCTGTGCTGGCGCTGTGAATTTTGCACGTAGAGTGCATGAATATTGTTGGAAAGAGGACAGCCTGGGCTTTCTTTTAAACGTCGGAATCTGTGGATAGGATATTGGATAGTCGCTACTGAGTGTTTTTCTCAAAATGCGTATTTAGTGTCTTTTTATGTCCTTTTGATTTAACAGCTTATTGTTGAAAATGGGTCTTGTTGATGGAGAAAACTTGGGTTCTGTTGTTTGGAATATTAGTTCTTCCTGTTCTGCATGTGTGCAGTTTATACATTGGTGAATATTAAAGAGCAGATTGCAGGTTAGAGACTGCCATGAACCAATGTTTGGAGAAACATAATAGAAACTCGGTTTAAACATTTTTTTTTACACAAACATAAATTATTTAGGCTTTTACAGTCATTTTTGTGAGAAAGTTTTTTTTTTTTTGGCCAAACCAAGTGACGTTAGCTGAGGGAGTCCTGTTAGCTTAATCCAGAGAAAAATATAGACCCTAATGCCGGGTTTATAATGTTTATAATTATAGTTATGATGGACCAAAACTATAAAGTTATGAGTTTGCTGCACGCCCCAGAGAGCAGAGACCAACAAGAGGGAGAAACGATTGGCCAAAGCAGAGAGATTAAGGAGGAGAAGCAGCGGGGGAATGCTAGCTTAAACTCGTGTGCTAACATCACAGTATTGTACGGGTTACTATCGTGTACCAGACAATTAAAATAGTATCGGTCAGTTAACATAATATTAATACTAATGAGCGTCTGTTAGCGGTGTCATACTCGTTAATATCCGTTCACCTGACGTAGTTTAGTGCTTAAAGAGAGAGAGACGCCTGTGATCCGGTTCTGGAGCTAATCCAGGCTTCTGTGAGCTGAATGCGACCCAGACACCAGCGAGTCAGTAGAGCTAATATTTTTAAAAGCTGCATACGATCCTTCCCTGGAGGTCCGCGGCAGTTCTGATCCGGTTCCGGCCCAGAAAGCTCGTTCGGCTGGTCCACTGAGCTGAGAGAGAGATGCCTGTCATTCGGTTCTGGAGCTAATGCAGGGTTCTGTGAGCTGGATCCAACCCAAACACCAGAGAGCCAGTCGAGTTGGTATTTTTAAAAGCAGCTCATCCTATCCTGGCAGTCCAAGCGGCAGTTCTGATCCGGTTCCAACCCCATAAACCAGCTCGACTGGCCCACTGAGCCACACATCTCTTCTGGTGGTCGGTTCTGACCTGGTTCTGATAGTGATCTGAGCTCCAGAAATCCTCAATTAATTTTTTAAGCCCCACCACAGATCTCCGGAGCCCAGCGCGGCCCTCCCTGTCCCGGTACTGACCGATGTGGGCTACAGAAGTCCGTCTTTTCAGCTGCAGAAACGCCCTCAGACACGAGATAAAGGCGTTGTTTCTCTTATCTGGAAACCCGGGGACTCGTCCAACAGGCTGGAGTTGGTACAGCCTTCACACACTCTAGTTTATCAACATGAACACAACCCAACACTAGTAAACACACACACTGACTCGATAACACGACCTCTCTACCCTAAACTAGCCACTCTCCACACTGAGCTGAGGCAGCCTAGCTTCAAACTCCCTCTGGTTACGTTGGTTACGTCAGAGGTTCACGTTTAGAAACACGAGCCTTTTTAGAAGCTTTGCTGAGAAAGGCCACTTTTTACTAGAAAACTGCTGTTTTTAAACCAAATATCCACAATAAACATTTCAAATAGTATTTTTGGACAGCATTTTATATGAATTAGAAAAAAAATTGTACCTGCAATTTGCTCTTTAAGCATGTTTTTGGAAGGACTTTGTTACTTTAGCAATATCACACGAGAGGGAGTGCGTTGTTGCCGAATATCAGCACTGGTGCGATTCGGTCACAGGCAGGAGGCCACAGGCCGAGCACCGTAGACAATCACATCAGTGCTGATATTCAGCAATAACACACTCCCTCTCGTGTGATAATGCTTTTTTATGCACTGACCCGTCACTGGATTGAGGTTGAGTTTCAATTTACAGGATAAGAGTTTGAAATCTATTTACACGCTATGCTTGCAAAAAAGTCAAACTCTGCAGTTTAGATCTGGCTAGACAGGAAGTCAAACACAAAATCAGTGTAAACATCTGGAAAAAGCTGCTATTTCGTTACATGTCGCCTTTGCAGCCAGTGAAAAAGAAGCGGAGAACTAACACTTGACAGTTTCAGTACCTTCCAGAATGAACTGTTTCAGGGCCCTGTCACTAAGAAAGCTAAGAAAAAAGCTGAGCATACCTACCACCCCCTTCTCAAGCTGCTATAGGCTGAGAAGCTCTGATATCTGGGAGGAGCTCAGGGTTGTATCTCTTACCGGAGCTCTCTTGCACGTGCGAGGTGGTTGTATGCAAATTTCCTGGTTTGTGGCATCACAAACCGGGGCTCTTTAACACCGCTTGTTTCAGACGCATCATTCCTAAAATCAAATACTGACAGATAAAGGATGGATGTGTTTTTTCATGTTTGGAGAGTTCACAGAGGCTGGGAGACCCACATAGCAGCACAAAAGTACACAAAAAGCAATCTCTGCATAACACATCCCTTATAGTCCTGTGCAAGGATACTTACGCGTGCAGGCCATCGTTGGAGGATCTTTCTTCGCCCTGTAGAAGCCCTTTTCACAGCGGCAGACGAAAGCTCCTTCACCGTAGCTGAAGCTGTGTGGAGGGCATTTTGTGCAGTTGGTTTCAGGATTTGCCTTGTAGAATCCAGGACGGCATGCTGAGGGTGACAGGACGGCAATAAGAAGGAGAAAAGGCATAAAGTTGCAGCTAATTATGACAAGAAACATGGTGTTAAAACAATCTGAGCACATACACAGTAAAGGTCACTGGCAGGCGACCAGAGGAGAAAGACGGTTACACACTCTGTGAGGTTATAGTCTAGACTTTATTATGATACAATCCAGGGATGAACATAAAAATCCTTGATGTAGTCAAGAGGATTGAGTGGATTTCTGTGTCTCAGCCAAAGAAAAAAGAAGTCTCCAGGTGAACAGGAAAAAACATTTTTATAAGCCGACAGCTCACCATCGTAAGAGCAATTAGGAACCCGAGTAAGAAGACAAACAGTGTTACTGGCTGGTAAACGTGTCCAAACGTAGAAGATACCGGCTGTGGATGTGGAATGAATGTTCTAATGAGAGGAAGTAATGATGCATCTTTGATGTGGACCCGTGATAATTACAGACACTCGTTTCTAGCAGCATGTTTGAATCCGAAAATAATCTGTTTTCCTGATTCTTTGTCTAAATTTTAAATAATTAATATCTTCTCACCGACTCAGCAGCTGTTTTTTCCAAATCAAATTACATTTTATGTTGAATTAACTTGTCGCACAACATTCTTAACAAGAATCCCGCAACAGCTAAAAACTACGACACAACTGGAAACTCTTCTGGGATTTAGCAAAAAAATAAAATCAAAAAATGCAACACAAATGGTTGTTTTGTCTTTTAAACAGATGAGGTTTAATTATTTAAAGAAACACTCCCCCAGGGTTTCATGTCCCACACAGAACAGGATGGTATAAATACATTTTCTTTATTTGGTTCATTTCCACTTCATCGTTTTGTTGACTCATTGCCGCGTGGCTCACAGGTGCATCTGAACCTAATGGACTACCATCTTATTCATAACTTCAGAGGCCGACTATGAAAAGTCACGGTGCTGTTGAACAGATTTATTCAGAGTGTCACAAATCAAAAACACGTTTTCCATCATTAATGTGTGGAAGAGGAATGTGCAGACTGTCAGAAATCACAACTTTAGCTAAATCAGAAGCTGGAAACAGCCACTAAATAATAATAATAATAATAATAATAATAATAATAGTACATTTTATTTCAAAGCGCCTTTCAGAACACCCAAGGTCACTTGAGAGAAAAAGTGTAAGATGAGCTAAAAACTAACATGAACTCCAGTTCCTGGCTAAACTATGCAGGTCCCGAGCCGAGATGCTGATAGCAGATGTTTATCATGAAATTATTCAGAACAGAAACAGACTGGGACATGTGTAACAAGAACTAATGACTAATATTTGGATATATTATTGGGCATTAAGAGCATTGGCATGTTGCTTCGATGAGTAATGAATAATTAATACGTTATTGATCCCCTTGTGGAACCCATCCTTACCGTGCAATTTGTATCGCCCCAGAGGAAAACTTTAGGGTTCAGTATCTTGCTCAAGGACACTTCAGCACGTGGCCTAAGAGGTCTGGGGTTCGATTCCCTCACATTTGGGTCAGAGGACAACTGCTGTGCCCCTTAATTATTACAGTCAATCTATGTTCAACATTATTACTCTCTCAGTGGCATACCATCGTCCCGGCTCTGTAAGAGTACATATGCAGAATGTCAGCGTAGTCCAGAACGGGTTAGAGACGTCAAAAACAAAAACGCAGAAGCCACTGGGTAACCTTTACTGCTCCCAGTGCAGGAGGTCTGGATAAAACAGGATCTGAGAACAGAACCGGAGAAAAGTAGTTCTTTTATAATAAAATGGCTCAAATTCTTCAAACAACTTCCTAAAACTAATACCTCTATTTCTAATCAAATGAAGTCATTTTCATTTCCTGTGGTTTTCTTGGAAGCTTTGGTGCATTTTCCTACCGTCTCCTGAAGGAAAGAACACAAGAGGTGAGACAATGAGCTTAAAAATCCTTCCCAAGCAGCGGGAAGCCACTGCTTCCGCTGCGTATTGACCATCATCTTAACCTCCAACAAACTTGAGATTCATGCAGCAGATAATGTAAACGTCTCAGGCTTTTGAGGCTTCTGTTGCTGCTGCTCGTCACTAACCTTATCGATTCAGCACGGTAACACAAAGTGAGCCGTTTGAAGTGATTCACCTTGAGGCATCGAGTGTCTTTGTGTGTGTCTAAGTTGATAAATGAAGCGGTGCTGAGAACATGGGAGGGCCTGAAACCACAGCTTGAACTGATCAAACGAGGGCAATTACAACACAAACGGACAGAACACACACACACCCCTCACATGGTGACATTAAGTGTGTGTGTGTGTGCGCTAATGCGTTAGCTGAATGACACACACGACTGTTCTCAACGGTCACCGCACATTCTCAGTTTAGTCACTATGATCCAGAGAAATGTGCCGAGAGAGAAATATGAAGAGTTTCCTGAAGAGTATGATTTTTCTCCCAACAGAAACTGGGCTTCACACACACACGAACACACACACACACACACACACACACACACACACACACACACACACACACACATACAGCCAATCTGTATTAGTATGGTAAGTGGCATCCCCTGCAGCGTACCAGGGCTGCCTCCGTCATTAACCTCTGATACCAACATGTCCTTGAGCCACAAGCCGTCAGTCAGCCCCCCACCCCACTGGACCGGTTGTAGACTCTGTCAACCTAATGATGCTTCTGCCCGACCTTCGCTGAACTGAGACCATCTCAGTTTTTTGTACCACACGCTGTCCTGCTGCAATCTGTCTGCCTGAGCTTTGTTGCAAGGCCAGAGTGGTGCCGTGTGATGGGCGACCAGGCGTCACTCGAGAAGGGACTCGCGCACTGGCATTGGCTCACACACACACGCACACACACACACACGCACACACACACAAGCACACACACACACACACACCTGTGGGAATGGCAAGAGCAACGATGAACAGCAATGTGAACTCGAAGAGACAGCCTGTCAAACGTGAATGAAGTCTGGAAAAGAGCAAAGCCACCATCTGCAAATCAGATGCTGCTATTGATCCATCAAGGGTTGCAGCTTTCACCTTAAGCATGGTGGCTGTCAACGTTCTCCCTATGAATGTAACCTCCAGTACATCAACAATTACTTTAGAAATGAGCATAGGCACAAAAAAAGAAATGAGCTTAATGGGCAGAGCTATTTTATCAGCCTAAAGTATCAATAACTTGGTTATTTTCCTGAACACCACATAAAATTTAATCAGCATAACAAACTGAACATCCACAGGCCAGCCGAAAACAGTCTCCACCTGGATTTAACTAAGCAGACAGGTAGGAGGCTCCTATTGGTTAATTACTGCATCGTTCAGCTGCAAGTTATTTAACCCAACTGGTGAAATGAGCTGCTTCTCATTCCTTAACCATGTCAAAGACTTGGCATGCCCGCAATGTTGTCTCATCTGAGCCACAAACTGCCATGTTTAAAATGTTATGTACGGGTGAGCACGCCTTGTGCACATGACAGATCTGCATAAAAATGAACCTCAGTTCTAGATTGGGGTCTAGTCTGTTGGCCGTCTGTGTGTGGCGTTTCTGATTGTTTCATTAAAAGACCCACGCCAGTGGCGGCTGGCCAGTAGAGGGCGATAGGGCGCCGCCCTCCCAGTTTTCCCCAGTGTTTTTAATTTTTATTTAAAAAAATAAATAAATAAAATTAACAATAATCACATATTCTAAGTTAATTGTGTGATTTGTAACAAAAACAAATCATACATATATATATATATATATATATATATATATATATATATATATATATATATATATATATATATATATTGGTGAGAAGCTCTCTGCCGAGCGGTGGAGGCGACAGAAAGGCTGTGGGCTGTGTTTCAATCGCCCAAGCAGCACGGAAGCAGCCGGCCAATTGCTGACAAGAAAATCAAACGGTAGGAATGGGAATGTATCCAATCAGCGTCGACGTTGTTTCAGAAGCATGATGGGCGATAGAGCTACCGCCCAAGGCTTTCGTTGGTGTTCGGTAGAACTCGACAGAGTCTCGACTACTCCAGCACGTTTTTGGTCGTGACGCAGATGTAACATGGACGCCAGTGCGCCTACAACCAGCATGGATACCGGATCTCAGCAGCCACTGAATTCAGTTCGGTCTCTTCTCCAGTATCCGTTCGAGAGGAGAACTATGGTGGAAAACTTAATGTCAAAGAGCTTGGACCAGATCAGCCCGACGTAAAGATAAGCCAGCAGGAGGAGGAGAGAGGTAAACTGTACACACTAGGCTTCTCCCGAAATTGGTACACCAGGAAGGCTTGGCTAGCTGGATACAATCACGCTAATGCGTTATTTTGCTTTCCAAACGGCTGGGACAGATGAGGCATGGATTGAGTCAGGAGTTACGGACATGAAACATTTTTCTGAGAAGGTGAAGAAAGGAGTCGTCCCGGGCACACATGGACAACACGTTGAAGTTAGCTATGCTAGGCAGAGCTAACATTGCCATGCAGCTAGAGACGAGGGACGCATGCTTGCAGTGAAGAAACACAATGAAGAAGTGGATCAGAACCGGCACATTTTGTCCAAGAGAGAGATGTCAACACAGTGTATGAGCACAAGGATGACCTCCTCAGATGTTTCCAGATGATCAGAGACTCGGATGACTTTGATCCAGTCACTGAGAGAGAGGCAGGAGGCTTTGTGAGAATGCTGGAAGAAGATTTCGGCTTTCTGCTGGCATTGTGTCACAAGATCATGCCACATGTGGACATGCTGTTCAACCAGCTGCAGAAGAGGAACATTGACTCTGTCTACATCACAGGGGTCATCCAGAGCTTCACCAACAGCATGCAAAAGATCAGGTACATACTTGTTTATTTAATATTATTGTGATGAAATTCTCCAGTATGTTAGTTTCACAAACAGTAATGTGGATGTGGACCATATATGGTCATGTTATTTTATGTGCAATTTAATGCAGTATTTTTCAGCCTTGGTCCGCAAGGCAGCGTGCCAATAGT